GGTTGGAGGAGGGGGGGGATTAAAAGGGGGGTGGCGGGGCGGGGTCGTGGCAGTGCAGGAGGTGGCGGTGGGGACAGGTGGGGATGGTGACAGTGGGGGCAGTGACAGGTGTCGGGGTAGGTACAGGTGGGGACAGTGACAGCAGGGGCAGTGCAGGAGGTGTCAGGGCGGTGCCGGTGGTGGCTCCACGTGCCGCCGGTGTCGCCGCCGGTGCCAGCAGCCCTGTCGCGACAGGCTCCTGCCCAGGAACGGCTGCTCGTGCGAGGCGGAGGCCGAGGCGGGGCTGGCGCTGCCGCTGCGCCGGAGGCTCTTCGGGCCCGGCCCGGGGGGGCTCGACTTTGCCAGCGCCTTCGCCCCCGGGGAGCGGCCGCGGCAGCTGCGGCTGCGGGAACGGGAGTACCGGAGCTACCGCAACCGGTGCGGGGGGGGGACACCCCGGAATGCCACGGGGAAGGGAGGGGGCAGCCCCAGGGCGGGGGAGACCCCCAGGGCACTCCGGGGCTGGGTGGGACCCCCCGGGGCTGGGTGGGATCCCCCCGGGCAGGATGGGACCCTCCGGGGCAAGATGGGACCCCCCGGGTAGGATAGGCCCCCCAGGGTTGGGTGGGTCCCCCGGGGCTGGGTGGGACCCTCCGGGTAGGGTGGGACCCCCGGGGTAGGATAGGACCCCCGGGGCTGGGTGGGACCCCCGGGGCAGGGTGGGACCCCCGGGGTCGGGTGCGCGGTGGGTACCCCGCCGCAGGATGCGATGGGGGCAGGGTGGGACCCCCCTCTGACCCCCCCGTCCCCCTCCCCCCCCCCCTCAGGGTGCAGACCCCCGCCGACCGCCTGCTCATCGTCCCGGCCAACTCCCCCCTGGAGTACCCGGCACAGGGGGTGGAGGTGCGGCCGCTGCAGACGGTGCTGGTGCCCGGTGAGGGGCGCGGGGGGGCCGGGGGGGCACCGGGAAACACGGGGGGGGCACCAGGAAACACGGGGGGGGCACAGAAGCACGTGGGGGGCACGGGAGAGGCGAGGAGAGAGCACAGAGTGGGGAGGGACATGGAGGTGGGGGGCACGAGGGGGACGACGGGGGGGGCACAGGGATGGGGGGCTCGATGAGGGCGTGTCTCGGGGGAGGGACGGGGTACGGGATCCTCCAGGGGGGTCTCTGTGCCCCCCGGCCCCCCCTCATCCCCACGTTACCCCCCCAGGGCTGAGCCTGCAGGCGCCCCCCAGGAACAGGTACCAGGTGAGGGCGGGGCCACGCGGGGGGGCGGGGCCAGGGCAGGGCGTGGTCAAAGATGGGTGGGTCTGGGGTGGGGAGTGGGTGGGGGGCAGGTGAGGGGTGTCCAGCTGTGTCCAGGTGTGGGCGGGGCGTGGGGAGGGCGTGGTTAAGGATGGGAGGGGAGTGTTGGGGGCGTGGTCTATGAGTGGGAGGGGCGTGTCTCCCCCTCCCCCCCCCCCGCCGGTGTTGGGGTGTCCCTGCCCTGTCCCCCCCACGGACCCCCCCGACGTGGCGCCCCCAGGTGAACCTGACGGCCTCGCTGGGGACCCTGGCGGTGGCGGCCGAGGTGGAGGGGGTGGCCCTGCGGGGGGAGGGGCAGCCCCACCTGTCCTTGGCCGCCGCCCACCTGGACCACCTGAACCGGCAGCTGCAGTTCGTCACCTACACCAACACCCAGTTCCACCCCGACACCGCCGACATCGGTGGGTACGGGGGGGGCTCGGGGGGCACCCCCGGGGGGCCGGGGCGTCCCCCTGGGACCCCCAGCACCCCCAAACCCCCAGCGCCTCCCACTGAACCCCCAGACCCCCGGGACCACCAGTGGCCCCTTGCTGACCCCCCCAGCAGCCCTGGGACCCCCAGTGCTTCCCCTCCATTGACCCCCCCAGCACCCCCAAACCCCCAGTGCCTCCCATTGACCCACCAGACCCCTGGGACCACCAATGCCCTCCCATTTAACCTGCAGACTCCCAGCATCCCCAAACCCCCCATGCCCCCCCGTTGATCCCCCAGAACCCCCAGTGCCCCTCTGGGACCCCCAGCACCCCTAC